ATTTAGATTTAAACTAAACCTTAAAAATTATAATGAGAGGTTAAACTACTTTAGCGTTGGCAGGCTTGAGAACAGAAGGAAAATTCTATCATTGATGTTTTCAGCTGTTCTCGAGTTTTAGCGAGACTAAGGAACAGCAATCCATTTATATATATATATATATATATATAATGTCAAAGTTTTTATCGAGTACATATTGGAATAAAAGCTATAGACAGACATCTGCATAAACTATCAAGGTTGGTTCAATGTTTAGGATATTTAATAAATTAATTTATTACACCTATTGTTTATACCATTTCATAAGGGATATCAAGCTTATATGGGACTTCCTAGAATCATCTTTAACATAAAATCATTACGAACAAAATTCTTCTATTATTATTGTGGTAAGTATAATTTTGTATCTGAAATTTGTATACTACATATAACCTGTCTTACATATTGCATAGTCAACATTCATGTATACTACATGAAAATATTAATACAATGTCAACATAATGATCCTTGGCCACATGAACATAAGGGTCACTTAAGAATGGCATTATGCATTAGTTTACTTGAAAACTGTCTCTCAAAGTGTAAGCCGGGCTTAAAGCGGAGTTCCAACTTAAAATAATACACTGTTCAAAGTTTGTCTCCGCGTCGAAGTTTAAACGCGGTACAATAGAGCCCGAGTAAGTCTTTAGTAAATATGATTTTTCGTATAATTTTAAGAGCTTTATCATAAATTTTAAACTATGAAGAGGAAAGTACTTAAGGTATACGAGCAAAAAAAATATTCAAAACAGAAGAAGAGTTTTCAAATGTAATAGATATCTTACAATATTTTGAATCCCTACTAATATTATAAATGCGAAAGTAACTCTGTCTGTCTGTCTGTCTGTCTGTCTGTTTGCTACGCTTTCACGCCTAAACCACTGAACTGATTTTAATGAAATTCGGTACAGAGATAGAGTTGACCTTGAGAAAGAACATAGGATAGTTTTTATCCCAGACTTTTGAAAGGTTCTCTTGGAAACGCGATATAACCGAACTCCACGCGGCGAAGCTGCGGGCGGAAAGCTAGTCTGAAATAAATACTAAATAGTTTTATGTAGGTAAATTGTCTCTTTTATGAATTTTAAAGACTATGATAACTTTGATTTCCGATGGTAGGTATTTTGTTTCATGGTCACTTCCCGAGTTCAGTTATGTTATTACCTACTTATTGATTTAAAAATTTGTATATGATAAATAAAATGCGCTATAATTTTTGCCCTACCAAGATATTTTGATAAATTAAAAGAAGGGATCGTTAAGAATGTTTTAATTTTTTGTCAGTTTGTCCCCGTAACAAGGTTTTAAATTCATTGTATATTTGTTATTGGTGTAATAGTTTTGACGTTTTATTGAATATATGCGTAAATTTTAAACGTTATATTGTCGAGGGTTCTGCCTCCATAGTGAATCTTGTTTGAAAACTGGCCCGAACAAAAGAGGTTAGGCTAATAGATACTATCACCTTGATATATATATTTTTAAATAAAGGGTTTAATTCTCATCTTATTATGTTTTTTATAAAATGTAAACCTAAAAAAACTGTATCCTAAATAGTATTTCTAATATATGTATATTGACATTGGTTTTATTAAAATACGTCTAGGTACTAGATGTTTTTTATTCGACTAATTTAATAAAGTCATTCAAAAGTATAATATTTTATGTAGTATATACGTGGTTATAAACAAACCTGATAGGTAAATCCATTAAGTGTCTTGTTTACACGTAATAAATACACCACATAGCCGTCTTATACAGTATTAATGAAGTGATCCGCTTATTTTTAAGCACATCACGATGGAATATTCGTAGATTACACTGATCCGAATCCAGTGACAGCAATTTACATCGGATCAGTTTGTGTGAGCTACGATAAATAATTCCTAAATTTATCGGATGTAACGATTTGTGATTAAAATAACTTTACACTAACAGCTATATTAACATAATTTCTTCATTGAAATAAATATGATTATATATTTCTAAATATATGATATACATGAAAAGTTAATAGTTACTTGAATTTGATATACAACTATTTTCGTGTTTTTAATATAGTTTTTTACATATTAAGTGTTTTGTAATCATAAATTAATTTTGTGAAAGCATTTCTAGTGGTTAATATGATCATAACTAAATTAAAAATATCTTTACACTAATAACTATAAGTAGTTGTGTGATATCAGAATATTTGAAATATTGTAACATGAAAACATCGTTTTAGCGTTTTACAACCTAAAATAATTAAAAATGGTGAAGACCTGATAAAACCTTTTACGTGATGGTTAAGTAAAATAAGTTTCCTGTGAACTTTTGTTTTTATTTTCCTCTTTCAATAGTGAGTAATGTTAATAAAGACATAAAACATTTATGTTTTGTTTGTTCATGTTAATCTTTACCCGCTCTTTGTTAGTGTTTTCTCTTTAAATGTGGTGTTTGCTGTTCACTGCGGGTTAAAATAACAATGAAATAATTCTGAGAGAACTATTACTATCTTACAAGGTTATATGTTTTAATATAATGTATATTTCCCATTAAATAAATAAATATAAACGCAGTATAAATAAAAAAGTTTTTGTGACAAGGATAAGATAACAAGAATCATCATGTTTGGGTATGAGGATCAAATAGTATGAAAGCAATTGAAACTAGTATATGAATGTTACTAAACATTAAACATCCAAAACCAACGGATTACTGTGGTAACTCGATCATAAATTTAATATTTTTTACAAAAACTTACAAACATTTAAGACAATTTTTGATTACCAAAATATTAAGGAGACTTAGAATTTAGTTTAACTTAGAATTTGTTTAACTTAACAAATATATAGTAGTGATTCTACTACGAAGATATAATATTTGTAAGCGCAAACTATCTAAGGCACTAGCGAAATATCTGGCAGAGAGGGCTCGCTTGAGTATTCCCTTAGGTACGTTTGCTTCCTATAATTCAATCCATTAATTTTCGTTTACCACTTGAGTTACTATACACTAAAATGAAATATTATCTGAAACTTGAACACCATATATTGTTTAACTTGGAATTATAATAAAGTTAATAAAATTTTAGTAACAAATCTCTAAAGTAAAAGAATAAAGTGTGTTTATAATTTTATATCGTGTTATAATTATTAATAAATTACGTATATTTAGACAAAGAACTCTTGCAATATGTCACCAAGATACTTTAAAAGGTATAGACTAAAACAAATAGTTAATTTCTTATTATTTTATATTATTATCATTATTAAGTATAAAAAATATATATTTAATTTACTCCGAAATGTATACAAATCTGTATATGATGAAAAAGGCATTATATTTTATTAAACAGTTAATTTCAGTTCTTAAAATTGAGATGATGATCAAATGTCATAGAGGTTTTTTAATAAATCAAAACGTATAAACGTCTATAAATGTTAAACCGACCTAATGGTTACTACTTCGAAATGCTCCTAGCGTTGTTATCTAGCAGCAAACTAGCGAGGAGTCTGTAATTGATGGATGGGCACGATTTCATACTGCGGGATTTAATCAGCTTATATTGCTATTACCATAATAGGCAATGAAATAATAAGTGACCTATTTAATATTATTTTGTTTATAATATCATAATTACTACAAGTGTCTTACTAAAAAATTGTAAGGAAAAACAAAAATTATGAATACTAGATCAAATCAAATAACAGGGAAACAGTATTGTAACTTTGTAATGCTTCACAGTCCATTGCGATTTAAAAATTTAAAAAGGACATCAGAACTTTCCGAACACAATCGAGACCTTTGATTAAAACTAGTACGATGCTGAAACACTTTATTTTGTACATAATCTTAGTACTTGAATACTTGAATCACGTACCCGCATCTGGAAACTGTGTTGATTTAACCTGGTCTTGGTAACTAGAACGGAGTTGCATTGCGTTATATCCAGCAAACTAAATAATAATGTTTGGTGTCGGGAGTTTTCTAAACTTTACAAATAAATCGAACTAACAATACAGATTCAGATTAAGCCAACAAATACAAAACAGGATAAATAGTAGAAAATATTGTTACACTTTGATTATTTTTTTTTTAGATCCAAGACAATAATTTAAATATAACTAAGTTTAGGGTATTTAATATCAAATTCATGATTTGAACATGTTCTTTATTAAAATAATTATAAATCAATTATAAATAATTAAAATTTTGATGAGTCAACAACAGAGTGAATACTAAATAACATCATAAATATAAAAAATGAGTAAGGCCTTTATTTGTTGTTATAAATAAATATTCTTACGTATTAACATTACATTAGTACATATTACAGTGAGAATTTTCAAAATTATGTAAAATGTAATAAACATGTAAATAAATAAATGTTGTTATTTCCAAAAGTATATCCTTAAAATTGTTATATAATATAATTATTTACAGTATTATTATCGGAATAAGATTAGGAAATACGGTGCTCATAAAGGTTTGTGTAATATACTCGTAGATGGCTAAAGGAATTTTTTGGGTGACAAACCTTTCAATTTAAATAATCGTCAGTATAATTAAGCTCTGTAATAGAATATCATTAAATACAATGATGATAACCAAAAGATTAGTCATATAGAAATCTTTATTATTTATTGTAAGAACAATATTTTGTAAAGAAATTATTTCGGTATAAAAATAAATTTATCAAAACCTTTGTCCATACAGTTTGATCCTGCCGTGTTGCTATACTTGATATACTTTAATTAAAATTTTGTGTAACAACAAGGTATAAAAAGCGAATTCTCTCCATAAAGAAATAAATATAAAAGCTTGTAAAAATATACTTATTTATAAGCTTCTTTCTTACTGTTTGGGTGATTTAAAAAACACAATCCGTTAAACCATTTGGGTTGGACTTCGTATTGTTTTAAAATAATTGCTACAACCATTACAGAAAAAAATTAAAACGGTCAAGCTAAAAATTATTAATTAAAGATTGTAAACGTGACTCTTCGTCTCCTCTCTTCGTAAATAATGTCCAATTTGTATGATGTCTTTTCTATCTTTTCGATTAAATTGCGACGAAGATCTCTTGGTGCTTGAGACTGCACATACTGCAAGAAAAAATTGTGTACTGTAACTTTCAATTTAATATATACATGTGTAGAGGGATTCCCCAGGCCCCCAGCCCTTAATAATTTTCTAATGGACACAGTATAATACGTAGTACTTTATTAATAGTATGTAAAGTAAACGCATACATATTTGGTAGCTGTTACCGACGGCCAAGTCTTAGGAAGGATATTTTAAGTGTCTGCCAAAAATTCTCCTGATGGTGTCTGGTAGTGTATTAGTTCATAGTAGTAATAAATAAGTTTCAAATGGTTCACATGTTATCTACAATACACGTTAAGACGAGACCTCAGACTATAAGTAGGGTCAGGGGTCCTTGTAACCATGGACTAGTGTAGAAATAGGAAATGGACATATATATGGCCACATCTACATATTTATATGGTTTTGTTTCTATTTGTTAAAGGTTCTTTTCAAATATATTATTTAAAAAAATTTACCTGTCTTGAATCGAATTTCTTCCTCAGCTTTCTGAGGTTATAACTTCTAAGGCCCCATTCTGCTACCGGAGTAAAAAGACGTAATATTCTCTGAAATAATTTATTTCAATTGAATAACGAATTGTTTATTTTAATATTTATTTTATAACCTTAGATATTACCTGCTTTTTCTTCTGAATGTAATAATAATAAACATAAAATGACCCAAATATCAGCAAAACAGACTGTATAATAATAGTCAATGTTTGAAAGTACGACGTCACTTCATTAAAATCACTGTTTAGATAAGTTTTTATAAGTAAATAAGACTTAATCTGAAATGAGGAAAGGGATTGGGTGTCTTATTTTTACTCTTTCTATAAAGTCAATTAATAACATCATTTTGAAAAACTTCTTCTCGTAACCAATAAAAGCCTGAACTTAAAAATGTAATAGCTATTTCTATACTCACGAAATAAAAGATTGGGAGAACCAATAAACTCCATATTCTTAGTTTGGCTGGTGGAACTGCAAAATGGAAAGTGATGTCATCGATCAATCTACCCATATAATTATTGTTTCCGAGAGTGTTGAGAAGCACGTCCATAATATGAATGCAAATTCCATGAACTAATAAAAAATATCATAAATTTTATTAGTGGAAGCTAAAAAAATTGTATTTCTTTTGAAATTAATTTACAAAAAGGGTATCCATAATCTCTCTGATTAAATAAATACAGATGTGACAGTGACTGAGCTCTAATAATAATTTAGGTAATGGTTGTTTTATCAATGGTTAAAAAACAGATTATGAGAAAAAGGTATTTTATCAACAAAATTATATGCATGTCTTTGTATTTCGTTTTATTTTTATTATTATTATTATTCTGCAGACATGCATCGTAGTAAATTGCTATAATTTTTAAAATACATTATCATAACAGGACCAATATACCAATGAATTTGTAAAAAATACTGCAACTTCTGCCGTCAAAATAATACAAGCTGCACACCATGGTTTAATTTTTTCCCATTCAGTTACGAAACTTTGTATGATACATTGAAATCTGATCAACTGTAATAAAAAGAAAATAAAAGATTACATTTAAAGTTATAAGTAAACTACTAAACTTAGTAAAATGAAATAAACATTAAAATAACATACACAGGTAAAGTAGTCCACAATTGCGTTTAAAGCCAAAAATAAGAGTATATAGAGCTCTCCTCCGTATAACGTGGAAAAATATATCGGCCAAGTAAAAAACAATGATGTACCGCCTATCGTAATAAAATATAGTATAATAATAAAATATAAAGATATTATAGGCATTGAAACCAAAACTCGCACATGTCCCAAAGTACCCACCATAAGAAAAACATATTATTGAAGCGTTTACCCAATTTTCTCCGTGTTTTTTACATAAATAACTTGTCACTGCTCTAGATATATAAAAGACTGATTTTGATAAATTAATCAAGGCTCTATCAAGGCTTGGATCGACCTAAAAATAATATTAGTATTATAAATAAATTTCGATAAAAACCTCCAATTTAAATTCAATTGAAGTGGGTTGACAATATAGTAAGAAGTGTTTAATAGGGCGTCAGATATGTTTAAATAAATTATGTTAAAAATTTTGAATTTAAATTCAATTTAAGTGGAATGAGGATACAGTAAATAGTGTTTAATATGGCGTCAGATATGATGATTTTCAAGACAAAGAAAACTTCAATCGCAGTTGAAATAAATACCCTTTAAAAAAAAAAATTAATTATAGAGATATATGACTGAAGCTGAAATATGTTGCCTTCAGATTAAATGCTCGTTATTGCTTGCAACCTTAATCAAACTTATACTTAAAAGGTTACAAGTAGCCACTAACAGCGATTTATTTTTAAGTGGTGGTTTTCAAAGAGTTGATTTTTATTTCATCTAGAATATATAAAGTTAAAATTACTTTAGAATTAAAAAATTGCCGATTTTTTTGGAATGTTACTGAAATATTGAAAATATGTAATAATAGGGCCGAACATATGATATGTACATTGAATATATGTCAAAGTTATTATTAAGAAAAATAAAGTTAATATTAAACATAGCTTTGTTTTTATAAATTTTTATTTATTACTGTGCTAGTTCTTCATGATAATTTATTTTACCTTATCGCCGCTTCTTGAAAATATTATATGAGCAACTGGAGGTGCATTTTTTATATTTTGAAGGGGTAATGGAGATGAATCACTGATTATTGTGTATACAACGCATTGACAGATTTGTCATTACATTTGTTCATATCAAAGACAAAGAATTTTTAAAACTATGTAAAATGTTATTATGTATATATATTAAGCATATTCTTAAACTTCTTATATAATATAATTGTTGGAGTGTTCGAATCTTTAATTTTATGAATATCTAGATTAAAGACACTTATTTCTTAATATATCAATCAAAAAATATAAGGAACTTGGTACCTGAGAATTGACCGTCGGTTTAAACAAGCAAATATTTATATTATGCTCATAAATCATTGTGTATATAGGAATTCTTGGGTGACAAAACTTTTAATTAAAATAAATATTAATATGATTAAGGTTTGTATGAGAATATGATTAAATAAAATGATGTTGACCAAAAGTTTTATTGTGTACAATATACAATTGTAGGTGATTTTAACTATATTATTTTGTAAAGAAATTGTTTTGGTATAAAAGCAAATTTCACAAAACCTCTGTACATACATACAGTTTGCGCCTGCCATGTTACTGAACTTGATATACTTTAACTAAAATATTGTGTAAAAATAAGGAATAGAGGACAAATTCTCTCAATAGTAAATATACAAGGTTGTAAAAGTTTTGTAATTTCTAAGCTTCTTTTTTACTCTTTGGGTGATTTAAAAAACACAATACGCAAAAGAATTCTGATGTACATCGTAATATTTTTTAATAATAGCAACAACCACAACAGAAAAAAAAAACGGGTCTAGCTAAATATTATTTAAACGCTTCAAACGTGACTCTTCGTCTCCTCTCTTCGTAAATAATGTCCAATTTGTATGATGTCTTTTCTGTCTTTTCGATTAAATTGCGACTAAGATCTCTTGGTGCTCGAGATTGAATGTACTGCAAGATTCAAATGGTGTACTGTTACTTTCAATTTAATATATATGTATATTAATAGAGGGATACCCCAGAACCCCCAGCCCTTAATTATTTTCTGATGGACATGTAATAGTTCAATATTAGTATGTACTGTTAATGCATACATATTTTTGCTATCTTTTACCGACGGCCAAGTCTCAGGAAAGATATTTTAAGGATCTGGCAAAAAATTCAGCTGATGGTGTCTGGTAGTTTATCAGCACATGGTAGCAATGAATACATTTCAAATGGTTCACCAGACCTCAGACTATAAGTAAGGTAAGTACATCTTTTACTTACTTTTACCACAAGGTAACTGAGAATTGACCGTAAGTTTTGAACTAGCAAATATATAGACGTGTAATGTACACACTAATAATAATACTCGTAACATCATATATATGTCTAGTCCCTCAGAAACTTAGTAAGATTTGGGGGCCCTGGAATCTTGGACTAAAGTAGAAATAGGAAATTGACATATTTACGGCATATATCTACATATATGTATGGTTTTGTAAGTATTTGTTGAAGGTTCTTTTGGAATATATATATATATTTTTAAATTACCTTTCTTGAATCAAATTTCTTCCTTAGCTGCCTCAGGTTATAACTTCTAGGGCCCCATGCTGCTACCGGAGTTAAAAGACTTAATATACTCTGAAATAATAAATATCAATTGAATAACGAATTGTTTATTTTCATATTTATTTTATGACCTTAGATATTACCTGCTTTTTCTTCTGAATGTAATAATAATAAACATAAAATGACCCAAATATCAGCAAAACAGACTGTATAATAATAGTCAATGTTTGAAAGTACGACGTCACTTCATTAAAATCACTGTTTAGGTAGGTTTTTATAAGTAAATAAGACTTAATCTGAAATGAGGAAAGGGACTGGGTGTCTTATTTTTACTCTTTCTATACAGTCAATTAATAACATCATATTGAAAAACTTCTTCTCGTAACCTGAACAGCCTGAACTTAAAAATTTTATAGCTATTTCTATACTCACGAAATAAAAGATTGGGAGAACCAATAAACTCCATATTCTTAGTTTGGTTGGTGGAACTCCAAAATGGAATGTTATGTCATCGATCAATCTACCCATAGGATATAGCAAAAAATATAATTATTGTTTCCGAGAGTGTTGATAAACACGTCCAAAATATAAATCCAAATTCGATGAACTGATAAAAAATGTCATGAATTTTATAAGTGAAAGTTAAAAAATAAATATTTATATAGAAATAATTAATCTATAAAATACAGATGTGACAGTTACTGCACACTTATAGTTTTGGTTAAAAACTATTGTTTTATCGTAGTTAAAACAGCGTATGAGAAAAAGATATTTTATCAACAAATTATACACGTCTCTGTATTCCGTTTTTATTTTAGTAAGAGACGAAACTTCTCAGCATTCCATGGATTCACCGTGCGGGTCCATCGCGTTGCAGGGAGAGGACCTTCAACAGTGCCTGGGACTTCCAACCCAGATGAAGGTTTAAAGAGCCCCTATCTGACGAGCGTTAAACGCTCATCTCCACTGTCCAAGTTCCTCTCCCTACCTAACAAAATTTGAATAATTTATATTTGTAGAAATGCACAGTAAAAAAATGCTATAATATTTAAAATACAGAATTTTAACAAAACCACGTTAACATACCAATGTACTTGTAAAATACGCTGCCACTCCTGCCGACAAAATAATACAAGCAGCACACCAAGGTTTAATTTTTTCCCATTCAGATACGAGAGTTTGTGTAATACATTGAAATGTGATCAACTGTAATAAAAAGAAAATAAAAGATCACATTTAAAGTTATAAGTAGTTTAGTAACATGAAATAAAAATTACATACACAGGTGAAGTAGTCCACAATGGCGTTCAAAGCTAAAAATAAGAGGACAAAAAGTTCTCCTCCATACAACGTAGAAAAATATATCGGCCATGTAAAAATCACCGATGTACTGCCTATTGTTATAAAATATAATATAATATTAAAAAATAAGTATATTATAGGCAATTGAAACCAAAACTAGCACACGCCTTAAAGTACCCACCATAAGAAAAATATATTATTGAAGCGTTTACCCAATTTTCTCCGTATTTTTTACATAAATAACTTGTCATTGCCCTAGATATATAAAATACTGAATTTGACAAATTAATCAAGGCACTATCAAGGCTTGGATCGACCTAAAAATAATATAAGTCCATGTTTAAATAAATTATGATAAAAATTTCCAATTTAAAGTCAATTTAAGTCGAATGAGAATACAGTAAATATAGTGTTTAATATGCCGTCAGATATGATGAGTTTTATGATGAATAAACTACAAACGCAGTTGAAGTAAATACCCTTTTTAAAAAAAAAATATATAGAGACATATGACTGAAGCTGAAATATGTTGCCTTCAAATTAAATGCTCGTTATTGCTTGCAACCTTAATCAAACTTATACTTAAAAGGTTGCAAGTAGCTACTAACAGCGACTTATTTTTAAGTGGTGGTTTTCAAAGAGTTGATTTTTGTTTCTTCTAGAATATATAAAGTTAAAATTACTTTAGAATTAAAAAATTGCCGATTTTTTTGTTTGTTTCTAAAATATTGAAAACATGTAATAATGGGGCCGAACATATGTATTATATGTACATACATTGAATATATGTATGTCAGAGTCATAATTAAGAAAAATCAAGCCTGTTAATATTAAACATCGCTCTCTCTTAATAAATTATTGTTTATTATTGTGCTAGTTTTTCATGATAATTTATTTTTACCTTATCCCCGCTTCTTGAAAATATTATATGAGCCACTGGAGGTGCAGTCATAGATTCAGCAAGCAAATCAAAATCAGCGAGCTTTTGTGTAACAAAGTTTTTGTTTTGTTAATTATATGTTTTTTTTCCAGAAATAAAACAAAATAACAATGAGTGCTCACCATTAACATATTGTTAAAATCACGTCTTATATACTTGATAGGTCTGTCGGAGTAAGTGATTATTAAATGTATAAATGATAATGCATATACAACACACAATGCCAGTTGTGCATGGTGTAAAATCTGTAACATCGTTGGATATTTTTTCTTTCGATATCTCTATATAGTAGAGCAAAAAGCATGATAACGAAAAAAATGACATATGTTAAGTCTTTATATATGTACTAGCTTTCCGCCCGCAGCTTCGCCCGCGTGGAGTTCGGCGATATCGCATTTCCAAGAGAACGTTTCAAAAGTCTGAGATAAAAACTATCCTATATTCTTTCTCAAGGTCAAATATATGTCTGTACCAAATTTCATTAAAAACAGTTCAGTGGTTTAGGTGTGACAGCGTAACAGACAGACAGACAGAGTTACTTTCGCATTTATAATATTATTAGCAGGGATTGGTAACATTATTCGAGTAATGATTTCATTAAAGAAGACATGTGATTTAAAAATTAAGCCGTTATTTATTTTCTACCTTCCAAGTGTATTGTTTAGATATATGGTTTCGTAGGCACGCAGCTGATATCCACAAGAAAAATATAATAACTACAAAAATTTCTCTCCCATTCCAATTCAATCGATTGTCATATGAATCTATAAAATGGCTGGAAAGTGCATACGTATAAAATCAATATTTGTTTTCAGATGTTATATGAATAACAATAAAAATCTTTTTCGAGAGATAATGAAGGTTTAGTTAAAGTAGTGTAATAAAGATCAAACAAAATATTTAATTGATATGTATGTAATGGAGCCTCACGACGCGTTGGTCTCGGCATGAACTTGGATAAAACCAAGATTATGTTCAACGAACATGTCGTGCCGAGACCGGTTTATGTCGACGGATCGGTTCTCGAAGTTGTTCAAGAGTATACCTACCTTGGACAAGTTATCCAGCTTGGTAGAAACAACTTCGAGAAGGAAATCGATCGCAGGATTCAGCTAGGTTGGGCAGCGTTTGGCAAATTACGTCGGGTTTTCTCCTCGCCTCTACCGCAATGCCTGAAGACCAAAGTCTTCGACCAATGCGTCCTACCAGTTATGACCTACGGGGCTGAGACGTGGACACTCACTGTAGGACTAGTCCACAAACTTAAAGTCGCTCAGCGGGCTATGGAACGAGCTATGCTCGGCGTTTCTTTGAAGGACAAACTTCGAAACGAAGAAATCCGACGAAGAACTAAGGTTACCGACATAGCTCGTAGAATAAGCCAGCTGAAGTGGCAGTGGGCTGGTCACATCTGCAGAAGGACTGACGCACGGTGGAGCAAGCGTGTCCTTGAGTGGAGACCGCGTCTCGGCAAACGTAGAGTAGGACGCCCCCCAGCTAGGTGGACCGATGACCTCAAAAAGGTCGCTGGGTCTCACTGGATGCGGAAGGCAGAGGACCGAATGTTATGGCGCGTGTTGGGAGAGGCCTATGTCCAGCAGTGGACTGCTATAGGCTGAGTGATGATGATGATGATGATGATGTATGTAATGAATCACTGGAAATGATTAAACATTTAAATAGATTACTGTCACTATATATTAAATTACTCTAACGTTCTATAATACAGGAATGTGTATGTTTCACAGCAGTGTCCAACGTGGTCCTTGATTAATAAAGAGACTATCAAGTTAAAAATAGCATTTGAGCCGACTTGCACCGTGCGCACCGAGCTCGTTCGCAAATAATTCTTGCAAATCACAGCATTAAAGAGGGTGTGTGATTTAACAAACATCCCTGATTTGCAACGAATACGATACAGCCCAGCATCCGTCGGAACGCGTTTGTGTATTGAATGTATTGAATGCGAAGAGAAGAGTACGCTTTTTTAGTGTAATGAATTCACGAGCTGTAGTTAGATAAAGACATTATAACCATTACAGCAATCAAACACCTTCCAAACTTGCGTTATATCAAATCTGACTACCACACTCCAGCACTAATCTCACATAGCAGTAAGATTCTTCTATACTTTATAAACAGTCGTATTCGACACTTTCTGGATTGGCATATACCAAAAGAGCAAGCAGGATTTGTGAGAGGAAGAGGCACAAGAGAACAAATTCTCAATATTGACAAATCATTGAGAAATGTTATGTTTTCATTTCTTTCATATTGTGTTTTATTTATTACAACAAAGCTTTCGATTGCGTCAACTGGAACCTATTGTGGTCTGTACTGGTGGAGATGGGAGTGCCTAATCTCGCTATTAAAAAATCTTTACACAAAAGTCAAATGATGGTGGTAGACATAAAAATAAACCGGCGCATTAAACCTGGATATGATTGAGGAGTTTTTTATACTAAGGGTCCCTCATAACTAATAACGGTTCATGTAAATGGGACGTAAGAAGACCCATAGCCATGGCAAAAACGACCATGAAACAACTCCATCGTATCTGGAGTAAGAGGAATATCTCTCGAATCCATGAACGAATCCATAAATCTCATTAACTGGTAAGGCCGAAGGAAGAAGACGCAGAGGGCGTAATCCGATGCGTTGGTCCGACCAGGTCCGGTTCGCGGTCGAATCTACTGTCCACGACGTATTACACACTGCGCAATATAGACAAAGGTGGCCCTGTATTGTCGGCAGTAAAACCTTCATGCGAAATCACGATTCTCAGCATTAAGGAAACCGACGCAAGGTGGAGGTGTTACACACTTCTAATTAAATGACTGCTCTATCATTATAATGCAACAAGACATTAAGATAATTTGCGAAATTCTACTTTTATTTTAATTATTGCTACCGGCATACAATAATAAGGTACAACTATTCAATTACAGTTATATTCTCAATCATAATAATCTAAAATCAATCATAAAATATATTTGAATCGTACAGAAATTATTGTTTTAAGCGACAACAAAACTTACTCAAAATATGTTATTTGAGCTAAGGTAAAATATTCCCTTTTTTCTATGCTATACAATTCTAGCTCTTTATCATAAGTCACATTAGCATTGGTAGAAATTTTTTGCGTGAATTGCAATAAATCAAGACAGGAATAATTTCGACCTTTATAAACATATTGTTTACTATCACATCTAGAATTAAGTAAATTTGATTTGGAAATAGTTTTTAACTTTGTCTTAAATAATAGAACTAATTACAAAAAAAAAGAAATTATAAACAAATATTAAATCACCTGTTCCAAGGTATTTTGTCAATAATTCCGAACACAAAATATACAACAGAATATGAAACATTTTGTAGCATTAATGCTAAACAAAAAAAACTAGTTATCAAGAATATAAAATTACATCCTGAAAATAGTAGGTATATCATATTTTATTTCAACTTCAAATTCTAATTTTGAAATAATAACTCTATACCATATAAAATTGGAACCATTTTAGATAAAAATAAATGCTGATCAGGTGAGTAGGTGCTTAGGAATAAATAGATGTAAGTCATTGGTAGACTTTTACATAAAACGTTGAAAACATAAAACCAAAGAAATCTGAAATCAAAGTTTAAGGTATCAAATGGCTAAGAACAAAAGATTACGTATTTATACAGTATACGTGTTTATTAATACATACCTTTGAACTCTGTTTTGCTGCTCACACAGTAATTCTAATTTACTCACTGTAGAGGTATAAGCCCGAAAAAATGATAATTTTTCCATAAAAGTGGCAGGAATAACAGGTCGATCGGAAGGTATTTCATGCTAATAAATAAAAAATGTCAAAGATATTAAACACTGTAAAAATAATAATCTATTGGTATAGAAATGTAACACTTTCACCTTCGGTATCACTTGCAGGTGACTCCATTTCGATCCGTGTGAAACGTCAGTTCTTGATAGATCGCCATCATCAACCAATTGCCAACTCTGGGTCTCCTGTTTGTCTCCTAAACCCAATGTATCTTCCATCGAACAGAATGCAGTAAAATTTGTAAAAGTTATTGTTAAGATATTGATTAGTTCAGATTAAAATATGTCAAATGTATGACACATGACATGAAAATAAAATGTTCATTTAGTGCACTCAAGTTGCGAGTGATTTATACCAAGAAGCTTAAACTATAATATTTATTTTGAATAAATATAATTTACAGATTTGGTCTTTTGAGATCTATAAATGTATATTTTCTGAAATATTACAGGTATACATGTGTATCGGCTCGAAACAATTTATTCAACTAGCGAATCTGGAAGAGTCATCATGGAGATGCTTTCGACTTGAAAATCAAGTGACTCACAAGAATCACTCCCCCCCTTCCAACTAAAAAAATGAGGACCACTGAAGTTATGGGATCAGTACGCTCCCAGCTCGTGAGGGTCCTGCATGTCCTCTCGATGGATGTCGTTGTGCTTGTTTCTCTTAATAAGAATGAGTCAGCCGTCCAGTCGTCGAGCCGGAGGAATTACATGCATTATTTGAATAATTAAAGAAGCTATTACTAATAGAAAATTCAAAAGTGAATAGATTGTTCCTAGGCTTACCAGTCATTACCATCTTACCATTACGGCTGACTGTTACTCCAAATTCATTGAAGTTTACCCAGAGATTGTCGCGGTTAATCAGATGGCCAGAAGCACCTGAATCTAAAAGAAAATATTTTTTTATACATATATTTTATTCATTATTCAAAAGTTTCCAGCCATAAATGCACCATCTTCTTTCTGTGCGCCAGCTTGGATGGTCTGGATTGTCCATGGTCTTCCGCATTCTGTTTGAACTTCAAACTTTGCAAATAGTAACGACATTCATTTTTATAATGCCCTCTCCTTCCTCAATGATGACACTTAGACCCAGTTTCACCAATCAATGTTAAATCTAAACAAGGTATTCACTAACAAATCTTCAAAATTATAATTGTCGGTTAAAATATTTTCGTCCCATGATGAAAAATTACTAAGGCATTATTAAATGTTATGTTAAATGACAGACTACCAAATTTTTCGTTATTGTTATAAGACGACCAAATGGAAACTATAGCGTTAATACGACACGTTTGACATTATGCACCACTTTATACTTTGATCGTATATATTCCTCGATACGTCACTTGCTAATGCGAACAAATTTTATATATCGTCGGTTGCATACATTTGGAACACAAAAAAGCTTTCTTTTCAATTTACTAGGGTTAACTTGTCAAAATCGTGTTGTTAATAAATTGTGTTATATATTATTGTGTTTTAAATATAGGCATAAATTGTGTTTAAATTATAAGAGTTAAAAAGAAAACTTAATTTGCAATGTCATAGAAATTTTAATTCACTTTATTAATAAGTACAAGCAAATAATCGAAACTGAGAACCAGATGACGTTGCTATGGTTACAAGAAATGAGAGCTGTGATTGGCCAATTGAGTTTTGACAATGCATTAACAGTCTGTCAGCCATTTGTTGGAGGTCTAGAACAGGAATTAATATGAATGTCTTGTTAAGTAATTAAAACAGACATACAACTAACAATTTAATTCTCATTCGAAATGCATTATAATTATATTTAATTTGTTTATTTTGAATTTTTATATATTGCAGGGAGGATGGAGATGAGGCATGGTTAAACATGCATACATTATTGACATTTCATTTGTTTATATCATAGTACAGGATCCGTGGCCTATTTTTTCACTTGATTACTATCAAGCTAATTTTCCGTGAGTAGCTTCATTTTGATAAGACGCCCAACAATTTCCTGTGCGAAAATTTTTGATTGTGGTAGCTAACAGAGGTAGCAATGATAAAATATGTCGATTTGATGATTCTTCAATATTTATTACTAACTGAATTGTTTTTATTAAATCTTAAGATAATTATCTAAATTATTTGAAAAAATATTTGTCCTACAAAATCTATGGTTTCATCAAAGAGTCCTCCCCCTCCAACATGTATTGATAACGAGATCACCAAAAATGATTACTAACCAGCTGATTTTTTTTTTTATTACTTAGTTAATATATATATAATTTAACAGCCATATTGTCCTACAAATTTCGTGGTATGTTATACCGGTTCCTACGCTTAAAAGTAGTAGTACAGATCATTGATGTAAAAATAATTACTATCAAGCTGAATCTTCGTGAATAGCATCGTTTTAATGAGACGCCCAACAATTTCCTGTGCGAAAATTCTCGATAGTGGTAGCTAACGGAGGTAGCAATAATAAAATATGTCGATTTGATGATTCTCAAATATTAATTACTAACTGGATTGTTTTTCATTAAATCTTAAGATAATTATCTAAATTATTTGAAAAAATATTTGTCCTACAAAATCTATGGTTTGATCAAAAAGTCCTCCCCCTCCAACATGTATCGATAAGGAGATCACCAAAAATGATTACTAACCAGCTGATTTTTTTTCTATTACTTAGTTAATATATATATAATTTAACAGCCATATTGTCCTACAAATTTCGTGGTATGTTATCCCGGTCCTACGGTCAAAAGTAGTAGTACAGATCCTTGATGTAAAAATAGCGTGGTACGCTATTGCGGTGCTCCAATTGAATATATATTGGAAAGTCATGAAATTAAAAATCAATTTATATTTCTTATTATATTAATATATTTATTATTTCTCAAGCGTGCGAAAAAAAAATGTTGACTTTTTGGTAGATTTCACTCAACAATAATATTATTTTATAAGTTAAAAAATTACTGAACGTCTAATTTTAAACTAATTTTTAAACTAATTTTATAAGTTAAAAAATTACTGAACGTCAACTGAAATTAAACAAAACAATAACAAAGAAACCTTTGTGCCGCTTGTGTTTCTGTATTTTTCTACAACAGCTGAGTCACACCGTGACGCGTGCGCAGAGCATTTTTACTCCGTCGTAGTAGGTATCCCACGTTTGTGTCGAGTATAAGCGTGTTAGTAAGCATTTTTCAGTTAATTTTTCATAATTATGGAGTGTTTCTTGTGTAATTTGCTTTGTGAAAATCCTACTTTCCGAGAGAAAAGAGAAGAAGTGAAGAAATTTAATGCAGACATTTGGCTTTCCTGTAAAACTTTTTTATCTGCTCGAAAACATCATCAACATAAATATGGAGATGTTATATTACCTGAAAATTGGAATGACGAAATCATAGGTTATCATTCCTCTTGTTACAAAGAATTTCGAGTGAAATCTAAATATTTGTCTTATGAAAGGTAAGTCGGTCGAATATTTTTTTACTTTATTTTTAAAATTATTGAAAAATAATTTATTAACTTAAAATTTTCATGTAATTATATTATGTAAAATCGAACATTAGCCTTGAAACATTATTGTTACATTCTTTAAATAATAATTTTAGAAAGTATATTTTATTTTACACTTTTGATTACTAAATTTGGAGTATAATATAAATATATTCAATGCAATAATAAACTTAGCCACGTGTTTATCGTTTACTCATTCAAGCCTCGGAGAATTCGAGTACGTTCGGAAATGCTCGACTCTTCTCGGGAAGTTTTTTATCATTTACATTTGTTCTTGTATAACTATTTTACCAAATATTAATTTAATATGGGATCATTTTTTCAATATCGATAATGTTAAGTGATATTTATGTAGACTGTGTGTACTGGCATGTTTCTCAAATAAATTATTTTTTTTTTTTTTAAATAATTTCTCATATACACAGCACTGAGCCAGCTTCAACATCATCTGCGTCTCAATCTACTGCAATCATTGATTCCTCGATTTCTTTAACGTCTGCTCCAAATGCAGAACCGGACCCATTGCCATGCACATCACGGTTAGTTAATTTAAAAAAAAAAAAACATTATTTGTTACTAATTGTTCATTTTTTAAAACAAGTAAATCTGAATCGACTGTTTTTTGAAACGATTCCATTACAATTATTTTTCAATTATTGTTTCTGTAAAAATACAAATCTCAAAAAATCTTCTTGACATTATTTATTTATTTTCAATTATAATTTTTTTACAGAAATATTGACCAAAATTCGACATTAGTAAATGATGAAACCAGTAATATCGAAGACTCGGAAAATACTGTTGAGGAGGACAATACAGATTGTGAAGTAGATGTACAAAGTTTTCGAGATGATGAGTCAGGAAAAAAATGCTTTTTTTTGTGAAAAAGTCAATATAAAACGTAAAGGGCGACAAATGTACTGTCGTAAAATTAAAAACAAAATGCCCTTTCTGGAAAAAATTAAAAATTATTCTACAGAACTGGGTGATATAGAGATGTTACTAAAAATTCAAGAAGAAACTAACTCTGTTAACGATGCTTTTTTGGCGTATCACAATATATGTAGTGTGAATTATTTTGCAAAATACCAAAGGAAAACGAATCCACCTCCAAGTAATGATTGGGCTACGAAACGAGAAGGCCATAAAATTGCCAGAGAACGATTGATTAATTATATTCAGCAAGAAGTTATTACAAATCGACGAGTGATGTCATTAGCTCACTTGAAATATTGTTATGCTGAATTTGTGAAAGAAATGTATGAACACTCAAATTTAGAAGCTACCACATTCAGCAATAAAGCTCTTAAGGATTATATACAAACTCAATTAAGACACAAAATATCATTGGTTAACATTTCTAATCAACAATTTGTTATATCATCTGAAGTAGATATTGAAGCAACCGATGATGAAGAAATCAGTAATATATTATTTGAACAAGAAGCACAGGATTTCGCCTTGAAATATCGAAAAAATATATTGAAAATAAAAAAAAACCTTTAACAGATTTCATTGATAGTGAAGTATTAAATGAAGGAGAGTGCGATGTTCCAAAATGGTTGGATTTATTTTGGACTACTGCTTTGAACGGTATTGGCAAAGAAAGCTGCGATCGGGTTCAGAGATTGTCTTCATGTTATTCGCAGGACTCCATCTACAGTATTACTAGAGGTTATATTAAACCGCGAAAGCATATTTTACTGGGTATAACAATGAAAAGCCTCACGGGAAGCAAAAAAGTTGTGGATATATTAAGCAGACAAGGTTACTGCATCACTTATCCGAGCGTACTGGAATTGGAGACGTCTGCTGCATATTCTTGTGCCACTAATAATCGATCATGTCCTTCCGGCATACAACCAACTTCTTTATTATCATCTGGAGTAGCGTGGGATAATTTCGACAGATATGTAGAGACAAGCTCTGGTAAAAATACCTTGCATGACACAGTGGGTATCATTTATCAAAATATCCCTACAGAAGAAGAATTGAACATTATCAAAAGGAACGATGCATCTACAGAAGCTCAACAGAATTTATCAGTTAATGTTCGTGATTTGACTGGCCGTAGAAAACGTTCGTTTGAGGAACAGACATTTGAAAATGTACTGTACGCGAAGCAACGTCGTCCAGAATTTTGGCGTAGTAGTGTAGCGTCACCTGAAGAAAAAAAATTACAATTCTTGTCGGACTAGTGATACATACCTGTTTTTTTGTAGGACATTGTTTTATTTGGGCACTGAACACACTAACCTATTATGTAATATTTTTGTCCTACAGTTAGTAATGAGAAAAATGGTTTTATGGTATTAACAATTTCTGAGCGTAGGACCGGGATAACATACCACGAAATTTGTAGGACAATATGGCTGTTAAATTATATATATATTAACTAAGTAATAAAAAAAAAAATCAGCTGGTTAGTAATCATTTTTGGTGATCTCGTTATCAATACATGTTGGAGGGGGAGGACTCTTTGATGAAACCATAGATTTTGTAGGACAAATATTTTTTCAAATAATTTAGATAATTATCTTAAGATTTAATAAAAACAATTCAGTTAGTAATAAATATTGAAGAATCATCAAATCGACATATTTTATCATTGCTACCTCTGTTAGCTACCACAATCAAAAATTTTCGCACAGGAAATTGTTGGGCGTCTTATCAAAATGAAGCTACTCACGGAAAATTAGCTTGATAGTAATCAAGTGAAAAAATAGGCCACGGATCCTGTACTATCACACATAGAAGAGTTATTAAAACTACGTAATCGTAATTATGAGAATAAATGTTCTCTGTTGCAAAATCATATTCTTAAACTAGTCATATAATTTCATTATTGGAGTGTTTGAATCTTTAATATTCAGAATATCTATGTAGATTATAGTCACTTGTTTCTTTGTATATTAATCAGAAAAAAAGGAAATAAAGTGTATACTTATAAAGGACAGTGTGTATGTACATAGGAATTCTTTAGATGAAATAACTTTAAATTAAGTAATTATCAGTATAATTAAGGTTTATCAGAGTTGATACAATTAATGAATAAAATGATGATGACCAAAAGTTTCATCGTATACAATATATACTTGTTGTTGATTTTAAGGACATTATTTTGTAAAGGAATTGTTTCGGTATAAAGGTAAATTTCACAAAACCTCTATCCATACAGTTTGTGCCTTCCGTGTTGCTGAACTTAATATACTTAAACTAAAATATTGCGTAAATATAAGGAATAGAGGACAAATTCTTTCCATAGTAAATATACAAGGTTGTAAAAGTGTTGCAATTTCTAAACTTCCTTTTTTACTGTTTGGGTGATTTAAAAAACACAATACGTAAAAGATTTCTGATGTATGTTTTTTTAATAATAGCAACAACCACAACAGAAAAAGAACGGTCTAGCTAAATGTTATTTAAACGCTTCAAACGTGACTCTTCGTCTCCTCTCTTCGTAAATAATGTCCAATTTGTATGATGTCTTTTCTGTCTTTTCGATAAAATTGCGACAAAGATCTCTTGGTGCTTGAGACTGTATGTACTGCAAGATTCAAATTGTACACTGTAACTTTCAATTTAAAATATATACAATATTCTTACGTACTCGTATATGTCCACACGAAGAAACGAAACTAAAGTTTTTGTTTACATTTAATAGTATTCATTTTACGAGTAAAGCAGGTTTTCTTTATATATAATTTCTATCCTTAAAGCGGCATTAGATTGAACTAAACTGATGAATACGTTTGGCAAATAATTAAAAATTCCAGAGGATATTTGTGTCGTCACCCAGACCAGACATGTATTTGTATACATTTGTATTCGCGAATTTAAAGCACATTCTGTTAATACAGCTAACTGTTTCTTGGGAAACCAACTTCCCGAAAAGCATGCCATTGAGATCAAAAAGTTTTTTAAGCTCACTTACGAACTCACTGTTTAACAGCTTAATCTTTCAACAACCTACTAAAAGACTTGGGCTGTTCAGAACTAACATCAATTCATTCGGAGAACGTACTTCGAAGGCAACCCTAGAACCCTAGTAGCCTCGTTTCAAATTTGGTTAGGTAAGGTATGGAGCTTAGAGTTTAACGCGCGTTAGAAAGGGACGCCTGGAACCCAGGCACTTCTGATGCTCCTCTCTCTGCAATGCGATGAACCCTGGCAAGCCTGGCAATTTACCTTTCTTGAATCAAATTTCCTCCTCAGCTGTCTGAGGTTATAGCTTCTAGGGCCCCATGTAGATACTGGAGTTAAGACACATAATATTCTCTGAAATAATACATTTTAATTTTATAACCTTTTTTATTTTTATAATATTAACTGTATCCTATGATATTACCTGCTTTTTCTTATGAGTATAATAATAATAAACAGAAATTGCACCAAATAATAGCAAAAAAGACTGTATAATAATGGTCCATTTTTTATAGTTCAACGTGGTTTCAAATAATCCACTGTTTAAATAGGTGTCTATTAGTAAGTAAGATTTAATCTAAAATGAGAAAAGGGAATAAGGAGTTCTATTTTGACTCTCTAGTTTAAATACTCATAGTAAATTAAGATTAAATCGACCCACAGTTGAATTATACATAATATCACATTAAAAACTTAGTTCTTCTAACCCATTGGTTATGTTAAAAATGTAATAGCTTATTCCAGACTCACGGAGTAAAAGATTGGGAGAACCAATAAACTCAATATTCTCAGTTTAGTTGGTGGCACTCCAAAATGGAATGTTATATCATCGATCAATCTACCCATAGGATATAACAAAAATATAATTATTGTTTCCGAGAGAGTTGACAAGCACGTCCAAAATATAAATCCAAATTCGATGAACTATAAAAATATAAATTTTATTAGTGAATGTTATAAGAATAATATTTTTATTAATATTATGATACAAATGTACATATGAGAAAAAGATATTTTGCTAACAAACTATGTGCATGCTTTTGAATCTCGTTTTATTAAACACTAAACTCCAATGATCATTTGAAATTAAATATTGTCTGTGTAGTTATACATCATTGTAAATTGCTGTAATATTTAAAATACATTATATAGCATGATCATGTTAGTATACCAATGAATTTGTGAAATATACTGCAACTCCTGCCGACAAAATAATACAAGCAACGCACCAAGGTTTAATTTTTCCCCATTCAGTTACGAAAGTTTGTATAATACATTGAAATGTGATCAACTGTAACATAAAGCAAATAAAAGATTACATTTAAAGTTATAAGTAGTTTAGTTACATGAAATGAAAATTAAAATTACATACACAGGTGAAATAGTCCACAATGGCGTTCAAAGACAAAAATAAGAGAACATAAAGTTCTCCTCCATACAACGTAGAAAAATATATCGGCCAGGTAAAAATGACTGATGTACCGCCTATCGTAATGAAATATAATATAATATTAAAATATAAGTATATTATAGGCAATTGAAACCAAAACTAGCACATGCCCTAAAGTACCCACCATAAGAAAAATATATTATTGAAGCGTTTACCCAATTTTCTCCGTATTTTTTACATAAATAACTTGTCATTGCCCTAGATATATAAAATACTGAATTTGATAAATTAATCAAGGCACTATCAATGCTTGGATCGACCTAAAAATAATATTAGTATTATAAATAAATTTTGATAAAAACCTCCAATTTAAATTCAATTTAAGTTGGTTGACAATATAGTAAGAATTGTTTAATAGGGCGTCAGATATGTTGCCTTCAAAATTCAAACTCAAATCTTGTTTTCAACAATTGCAACCTTAATCGAACTTGTACATAGAAGGTTGCAAGTAGTCATTGACAGCGACTTATTTTAAACTGATGGTTTTCAAAGAATTGTATTATGTTTAATCAAGAATGTATAAAGTTATAACTCTTTACAATTCTTTATATGTATTTAAATAATAGCCTATTTTAAATTTTTTTATTAATTAATTATGTAACAAAATGTGGCCGAACATATTACAGGTACATTGAATGCATGTCAGGGTTATTATTTATAAATAAAAAATGAATTCTTGTTATTTTTATAAAAAAAGCTTGGTCAATTAAAAATATCTATTATTGTGCTCGTTTTTCATAATAATTTATTTTTACCTTATCGCCGCTTCTTGAAAATATTATATGAGCCACTGGAGGTGCAGTCATAGATTCAGCAAGCAAATCAAAATCAGCGAGCTTTTGTTTATATAAACAAGATATACGTATTATTAATAACATAGTATTTTCCAAAAAGAAAAATAATTAATGAGTTCCTACCATCAAAATATTATTAAAATCATGTTTTATATACTTGATAGGTCCGTCGGAGTAATTTATTATTAAATGAATAAATGATAATGCATATACAACACAGAGTGCCAATTGTGCCCAGTGTAAAACCTGTCACATCATTAAATATTGTTATTTATGAAATCATGCGTTTGTTCTACTACAACTACTTCTATTGGTAACATTATTCGAGTAAATAGTTAACTAAATTATTTGTATACCTTCCAAGTGTATTGTTTAGATATATGGTTTCGTAGGCAGGCAGTTAACAACCACAAAAATAATATAATAATCAATAAAATTTCTCTATTGTTTAAACCCAATCGATTTTCATATGTATGAAGAAAAAGGCTGAAAAATTAAGACGTATGAAACGAGGATTTCTTTTGAGGTATTTTAACTAATAATAATTAATTACAAAATATATTACAAGGAATAATAAAAGTTAAATTAAAAAATAATTAAACGTAGCTAAATAATTAATAACTACTATAAACCATTGGTTATTAAAGTAATCTAATATTTTGTAGTAATTAAATATGTTTGTTACATCAGTGTCGAATGTAGGTACACTTTGATATAGAGATTGTCACGATCAAATTGGAATTCGGGCTGGTTTGCACTGTTTGCACTGTACGCACCAAGCTCGCTCGCAAATAATTCTTGCGAATCACAGCGTTAAAGCAGGTGTGAACGTTCGCAAACATCTCTGATCTGCTACGAAACCGTGACAGCGTCAGATAGCATAGCGTAACGTGACAGGGTAAGAAGGCGCTCTTGTATTAAACGTAAACAGAATTGTATGCCTTTTTGCTTAAGTACTTAAAAAACTGCAGGTACGTAGCGATGTCCATCGTGTATGCTATAAGCATCGTAACCGTTACAGCAACCAAAA